TGTATGTATGTGTGTATGCACGTGTGTACATATAAATGTATGTATGTGTGTATGTATGTATGTACGTGTGTATGTATGTATGCATGTATGTGTGTGTACGTATGTATGTCTGTCTGCCTGTCCGTGTGTATGTCTGTATGTATGTCTGCATTTGTTGATGCATGCATGTATGCATGTATGCATGTATGCATGCATGCATGCATGCATGTATGTATGTATGTATGTATGTATGTATGTATGTATGTATGTATGTATGTGTGTAAGCATGTATGTATGTATGTGTGTATGTATGTATGTATGTATGTTTGTATGTATGTATGTAAGTATGCATGCATGTATGTATGTATGTATGTATGTATGCAGATATGTATGTATGTATGCATGCATGCATGTATGTATGTATGTAGGTATGTATGCATACGTGTGTATGTATGTATGTATGTATGTACGTACGTATGTATGTATGTATGTATGTACGTACGTATGTATGTATGTATGTATGTATGCATGTATGTATGTATGTATGTATGTATGTATGTGTGTATGCAGGGATGTATGTATGTATAGATGCATGCCTGTATGTATATATGTATATATATATATATATGTATATGTATATATATGTGTGTGTATGTATGTCTGTATGTATGCACGTATGTGTGTATGTATGCATGTCTGTGTGTATGTATGCATGCATGTATGTATGCATGCATGTATGTATGTAAGCATGTATGTATTTAAATGTGTCCCTATGTATGTAAGCAGGTATGTATGTAAGTGTGTCCCTATGTATGTATGTATATATGTATGTATGTATGTATGTATGTATGTATGTATGTATGTATGTATGTATGCACGTATGTATAATCATACATACGTGTGTGTGTGACCTGGGGGCCCCATCGCCCCGGCGGAACTCGCGTCGCAGCACGGGCCAGGGAGCACCCCGGGAGGGGTCCGGGGGCCGACCCTGGGGCGCAGTGCGGCCGGGCGGGGAGGGCGCCGTTGCCTCGGCGGGCGCCCTCGAGCATCCGCGAGGCGAGCACCTTCAAGGCCTCCGCCTCGGACGCCCGGGAGGCTCGGGCCGGGCGAAAGGGGGGGATTGGGAAAGGGGGGGTTACGAAATTTGCTGCATGGCCTCACCGAGGGGCTCATTCCTCGATACATGGCCGCCTCCGGCGCCGGGAGGCGCCGGGAAAATCAGCTCCGTGAGCTGATTCTCAAACCCCCCCTTTGCTATCCCCCCCTTTCGCCCGACCCGAGAGGCGGAGGGCGGCACGTGCTCCAAGTCGCCGACGGGCGCGCACTCCTGGAAGTTTGGCAAGTGCAACCACTGCCAGGCTCGAGCAGAGACGAAGCGTCCCGGTTCGCCTATAGAAGTCCACCGGAGCGAGTTCGAGCGATGTTCAGTTTGCGCATGTCTAGGCCTCCCAGATGGGGTCGGAGTAGGTGGGGTGGGAGGTTCGCGCCGCATCGCCGATGCATCGTCGATGCGGCTCGATGTGGGGCTCGATTTTCTCAATGCCGACGTCGCCGATGCCTCGCTGACGTCGTCGTTGCATCGCCCATGCATCGGCGATGCATCGCCGATGCATCGGCGATGCGGCGCGATCCTCCGACACCATTAACTCCGACCCCATCTAGGAGGCCTCTAATATGGCAGCCTTGGGGCAGACGCAACTAGACAGCCTTGCACAAGGGCCCACTGGTCCACCTCGTGGCCCATACTGTTACCACTGCTACCCTTTAACAGTACCGACGTTACGAACTACTGGTATCACTGTTACAAACAATCACTTCCACGGCAACCATACTACGGGTCCAGGGCAATATTAATGTTACTGATCATTTTCGTACAGATACTGGTCCTACATGTATTATTGATACGAAGACTAACATGGCTGAACACGCGAATGCGAATACCAATTCCGTTGCTAACAATCCAATTGCTACGCTAATGCGGCGGGAGGCTACGGGATACAGTAATATGTATCATTAATGCTGATGCACCAGTGACTGCTATTGCTGATGCGAGCGCTACTGCGCATGCACATGCCCATGCTCATACGGCCTGTGTCCTTCCCATCACTTTTGCAGCCAATGCGAATATTGAGACTGATACCACTTCAGCGTGGGAGGCCACGGGAGACAACGGGTGGCACCGGGCGACCGCGGGAGACGCCGTGAGGCACCAGGAGACCACGCCGCCCAATGTCAGAGGCGACGATAGGGGGCGAATGGCCCAGGGGAGAGCAGTGCACGTGATCCAGGGGCGCCGATGATCCATTGTCTTCGAGACGGCTCCCGGGCGAATGCGTGTAATGCCCGCCCCTGGGCTATTCGGTCCTATCGTCTCCGCCGACAATGGGAGGCAACACGGGAGACGACGGGAGAGGGCACCGCCCGCCCGAGGCCAGATATCTCGCGATCCGCCGACCTGTTCCTGATATCCTTCTGCGAATCAAGAGTCAGGTTAAGTTGGGCGTGTCCCTCTACAGGAGGCATGATCAGAAGTAGTCAAACAATAATAATATGGGAACGATTTTCCGATTATGTTTTCATTATCTTTTGCGTATTTTTCATTTGTCGTCCAAAATCCGCCTGCAGGGGGACATGCCCGACCTAAGAGTAATGGTAATCCCAACACCTATGCGAACTTTGGAGGCCATGGGAGGCCACGGGACAGCACGGGCGACCACGGGAGGCCACGGGAGAGACGCTTGGAGACCAGAGCGCCCGACGGGTTCCAGATCTGGGCACCCTCGCAGCTTTGGCAATGGCGCCAACGTCGCAGAGCGGAGCTCGTTAGGGAAACGATAGGTTGGGCCCGGAGTGTCCTGGAGAATTTCGTTTCGGATTTCGAGGTGAATTCCGTGCGGATTTGTCTGTGGCAAGGAATAAAGACGAACACATAATTCTGTGACCAGGAATGAAGCTTAAAAACATCCACGCGAAATTCACTTCGTTTTTCACTCGCCGTGTCGGGGTTTGCATTGGCAGAAATCCACACAACAATCCGCTGCAGCACGTCTGCAAGGTCGGTGCAGTGACCCTTCCAGACAAGCTGCTTCGAGGAAAAACGTTGGCATAGCACTTCTGGTGGAGGCAGCCAGTCCTGCGTTGGTTTTCTGTACCGAGGACAGCGGGCTTCCCTCGCAGAACGTTGTGGCTGTAAGAACGTCCGGTGTTCGATCATGGACCCTGTGTTGAACGCAACCTTCCAGCTTTCGCGCCGAAGGCCGCTGGAAACCGCCAGAGGCCGCCAGAAAAATCGCCGAAGACCTTCAGAAGACCGATCCGAAGGCCGCCGCAGGCCTCCGAAAACCGCCCGAAGACCACCAGAAACGGCCCAGGAGCGATGGGTAGCAAGGGGCCCATTGTCGAACACGTGCAGCCGGACCGAGGTATAAGATCGAGGTCGGTTCGGGGAGGGTGCCCTCGTGTTCTTCGTGCTTGTTGGATGCTCTTGTGCATCCTGGGGAGGGTACCCTTGGATGTTCCGTGTGTTTTGGCTGGCGGAAGGTCTCATGTTCTTGAAGGATGCCCTTCTGACCCAGGTCCAGCTGTGACAAGGCGCTTATGGTCGAACACGTCAAGAACATGCCGTGGTGGACCTACAGGAACACCAGGACGGTCGGCCCCTGGCCGCCAGTCAAGGGGTGGAAAACCACCCGGGCCCGATAATTGGCGTTTACTTAACGGCCCTGGGCGTTTACTAAACAGCCCTGCCCTGTTCCATTCCTTCCCTGGGTGCGTTTTCTGAACGGCTTCGCTTGTCGGGGTGATTCTTATGGGGGTGGATCTTCTGCCCTCTAGCCAGGCCCCCGAGCCCCCCAGGGGGGCCGCCGCGACGCCCGCGGCGGCCGCCCCGCGCAGCCCGCCGCGCAGCCCGCGGCCCGCGGCGCCTGCGCAGCCCCCGGCGGCGAAGGCGGTCGAGAAGGCGTGCGACAAGTGTCACAGGGAAAAGGAGGAGGAGGAGAAGGAGGAGGAGGAGGAGGAGGAGGAGGAGGAGGAGGAGGAGGAGAGGAGGAGGAGGAGGAGGAGGAGGAGGAGGACGGGAGGGGGGGAGAGAGGGAGGAGGGGAAAGGCGTGCGACAAGTGCCACAAGCCCTTCGGCGGCCACGGGCCCACCTGCGGCGCGTGCCGGCGCGTCGTGGGGAGGAGCTCGGAGGAGGAGGAGGAGAAGTCTCCTCCTCCTCCTCTTCCTCCTCCTCCTCCTCCTCCTAATCCTCCTCCTCCTCCTCCTCCTCCTCCTCCTCCTCCTCCTCCTCTTTTTCCTTCTATAGATGGGGTCGGGGTAGGTAGGGTCGGGGAATCGAGCGGCATCGCCGATGCATCGGCGATTCGGCTCGATGTGGAGCCCGATTTGCTTCACGTCGACTTCGCCGATGCATCGCCCACGTCGACGATAGGCGATGCATCGTCGATGCATCGGCGATGCGGCGCGATCCTCCGACCCCATCTACTCCGACCCCATCGAGGAGGCCTCGGAGAAGGTGCCAAGACCGCTGCCCTAGTCTCGTTTTCGTTTTTTTGGGGCGGGGAGGCCTCCGGGGAGGCTCTCGTTGCCACGGCTGGGTGCTTCGCCTCGAACTTTGGTCAGGGCGCACCCCGGGAGAGGTCCGGGGAGCAGCGGTGTCGGCACCGCCTGGTCTCCCCAGGAGCGGCTCCTCCGTGCAGTGCCAGGGCTGCTCCAGCTTCTTCTGGGGCTTCGGGGACAGGTGCGAGGACTGCAGGACACTGGGGGGCGGGGAGAGGGGACACACGCCACCGTTGGGGGCCCGTCGGGCGTGCTCCTCCTTCGCTCTTGTCCGATGGCCGAGTGCGTCCTCGAACTGCGGAGCGCGTTCCACTGCTCGCAAGGTGCATGCTCGCAACACGCATGCTGCCTTCCATACAGCGGGTCGCAGAGCCCCCGCGGCGGGGCCAGGCCATTTGCGAGCACAGTTATACCGTGCGAGTGGTGGAGCGCGCTCGTCTATTGTCGAAGGAGCTCGCTGATGCGTCCCCCGCGTCGGCGTGCGCTCGAGCCTGCGTTCGCTCCCCGGAGGACGGGCACCTCCGCGGTCGCCGCGCGCCCGCTGGCCCGCGGCGGCCCGCAGAGCCCCGCTGGGGACGGCGCGGGCAGGAACGAGCGGGCCAAGGTCGAGTGCCCCTTCTGCGGGTACAAGTGCTTCCCCCAGTGGCTCAACGACGAGGCGCACTGCCTGAAGTGCGACAAGGTCATCAAGACCCAGCTGTCCATCCCGGCGGCGCGCCACAGGGGGGCGGGGGCGAGGCATCGGGGGCCCTCCAGGCGGGGCAGGGGGGCGTCCGGTCCTGGGGCAACGTCTTGCGGGGGGGGGGAGAGGCCCAGGGGGGGATGCATCGACCTCCGCCCATTCACCACCGACAGGGGCCTGATAGCCCCACCCAGGGGAATCGGAGGACGAGGAGGGGGACGAGGAGGAGGAGGGGGAAGGAGGACGGGGAAGAGGGGGAGGAGGAGGGTGATGAGGAGGGGGAGGAGGAGGGGGAAGGAGGGGGAGAGGGGGAGGGAGGAGGGAGGGAGGGAGGGAGGGAGGGAGGAGGGGAGGGAGGGAGGGAGGGAGGGAGGGAGGGAGGGAGGAGGAGAGGAGGAGGAGGAGGAGGAGGAGGAGGAGGAGGGGGAAGCGAAGGAGGGGGAGGGGGAGGAGGGGGGGGAAGAGGGGCCCCCTCCCAATGTTCCCCCCCCCCCGCCCCCTCGCCTCCTGCCCTCTTGTGCGCTCGGCCGGCCGTCCACGGCCCGACCCCGGGCGTCGCCATGGCGGCCGGGCCCCCGCCGGCGGGGGCGGGCAGGCGGCAGCCCGGGGAGGCGTCCACCTACAAGGCTCTCTCGGGGGCCCCCTAACGGGGTGGCGACCACACCGTGGTGTGATGGGCCTGTGGTCCACCGCCGCCACCACAGGTTGGAGGGGGAGGGGGTCCTCCTCCGCCTCCTCCTCCTCCTCCTCCTCTTCTTCGTCCTCCTCCTCCTCGTCTTCCACCTCCTTCCCCCCTCCAACTTATGGTGGTGGTGGTGGTGGTGGAAAACAGGCCCATCAGTATGGTGAGCCGCTGGGGATTCGGGTCACCGCACGGTTTTGGGCTCGGGTCGTTCTCCGAGGACGCCTCGGGCGACTGGGGCATGCGAGGTTCCAAAACCGCGCGTTGACGGGCCGTGCGGTGAGGTCTTGGGGGATTTCGAGGTCACCACACGGTCTGTCACCGCACGGTTTCGGGAGTCCAAACTTTCTCTCTGGGGTCACCGCGGGGGGGATGCTGAGGGGATGAGGGGCGCTATGAGTGGATTCGAGCAGTGGCGAAGCGTCCTGGCTTCCCTATAAGCCCACCAAGGAAAGTTCTAAGAACCTCTCGCGGTTTGCGCGAAATGTTCTTAGATCATTTCTGGCTGGGAATGTCTTGTTTCAACACATTGGGCTTATATTATAAGAATACGTTTGTAGTTATTAGAAAATTGTTGGGTTCTAAGAACATATCGTGGTAGGCCTATAGGTATGCCTGGACGGTCGGTCCCTGCTCACTGGATGCAGTGGTGGGTCATGCAGTCGAGCATCAGATGAAGAAACCTCCTCTCGATCAGCTGGGCCAGCGTTTCTCGCGACCCAGTCTCTCGAGCTCCTTCGCCCCTCCAGCGTCAACATCAGCAATTGGCCCAGGCTTTATTTAAGATACTCCTGGGAAGCTTAGGCGATGACTTTCTTGATCATACTTTCGACTGTATCTGGCCTAACTCAGCTTCTAAAAATGTTTATTCCCTGGCGATGAGCGGCGTGACCGGGGTGGGGACAGGGGGTGGAGGGGCCCGGTCACGTCACGATTTGCGCAGGCGCCGTCTGGGAATGCTTGGCGATGATAAGGGGCGTGACCGGGGCGCGGACGGGGGGTGGAGGGGCCCGGTCACGTCACGATTTGCGCCGGTGCCGTCTGGGAATGCCTGAGAACGGCTCGTTCCCAGACGGCGCCGGCGCGAATCGTGACGTGACCACGGGGGGGAGGGGGGGTGCTGTACCAGTTATCGCGGATAGTACAAATCTTGCTTTATGTGAGTTAAAGGTGTCCTATGTGGCTTGGGTGGGTTCAGTAACTCCGCTAAGTTGGCGCTGCTCACTCAGTCCAGATCTTTTAGCCACATAGTGCATTGTGAGCTCATTTATACGCCATGTTGGGCCATCTTTCAGCCAGCTCAGCATCCACTGATAACCTCCGTGTCTCTCTAGCACTCCCCGCGGTCATCCAATTAGGCTTCCCAGATGGGGACAGAGCATATGGGGTCGGAGGATCGCGCCACACCGCCGATGCATCGGCGATGCGGCTCGATGTGGATCCCAATTTTCTTCTCTCCGACGTTGTCGATGGGTTGCTGGCGTTGCCGATGCATCGCCGATGCATCGGTGATGCGCCGACGATGCGGCACGGTCCTCCGACCCAATTGCTCGGACCCCATCGGAGATGCCTCCAGGTTGCAACAAAAATGAAGTCATACACCTGGGGGTGCGTAGGACACTAAATTCCCGTGCACCCGAGCCCTCCAAATGCGGACTCGTTTGAGGTCAGATCGATGCTTTATGCCCTCCATGGAGGCGGGGAAAGATGGGGACGAGGGGGAACTACACCTCAGTGCAAGCTAGGACTTTGCAAACTTCGCCCAGAGAAGGCGCAGATCAGGGAGCATTTCGACCCACGGCTTCAGTTGTCTTGGGTGCGCCAGGGCCGCCTTCTCTCGCTTCGCCTTCTCGGCATGCAACTTTCCATTCGGTTCTCTTTACTAGATGGCATTCGTTTACCTTCGAAGCCAGATCCTGCGCTACGAACCAGTCTCCTGCCGTCTCCAAGAGGAACACCATACGCGAATCCAGCCGTTGCAATAAGATACATGGATGAATGCTGCGCAAGAGAAATATGTTGGATGCGCCAGTGTCCTGGTTTCCCAAGGAGTTGCTACTTGCGGCGCCCTGCAAGGTCTCCCCCGGCAGCGCCATGGAGTCCATCTCTGGCGACTGCCAGGCCTGGTTTGCCGCGACTGGCAGAGCCGCCTACCATACGATCCGCTTCGATGTGATTCGTTCCGCTGGCTTGATGGGCCTGTTTTCCACCACCTCAACCACCACCACCACCACCACCACCACCACCACCACCACCACCACCACCACCACCACCACCACCACCACCATACATTGGAGGGGGGAAGGAGGTGGAGGACGAGGAGGAGGAGCAGGACGAAGAGGAGCAGGAGGAGGAGGAAGAGCAGGAGGTGGAGGAGGAGGAGGAGGAGGAGGAGGAGGAGGAGGAGGAGGAGGAGGAGGAGGACCCCCTCCGCATCCAACTTATGGTGGTGATGGTGGTGGTGGAAAACAGGCCCATCGATCCGCTTCCATGTGATTCGTTCCGCTGGCTGGGGCCGCGATTCCGATTCGATTCGGTTCGCTTCGCCGGCATCGGCTGGGGCCAGCCAGCGCCGGGTGCGGCGATCCGCTCTCGATGGGCGATCCGATCCGCATCCGATCCGATTCGGTTTCGCGATTTCGGTCTTCAACGAGGGAAGGAGGAGCAGGAGGAGGAGCAGGAGGAGGAGGAGGAGCAGGAGGGGGAGGAGGAGGAGCAGGAGAAGGAGAAGGAGACGGAGGAGGAGGAGGAGGAGGAGGAGGAGGAGGAGCAGCAGGAGGAGAAGGAGAAGGAGAAGGAGGAGGGAGGAGGAGGAGGAGGAGGAGGAGGAGAGGAGGAGGAGAGGAGGAGAGGAGGAGGAGGAGGAGGAGGAGGAGAGGAGGAGGAGGAGGAGGAGGAGGAAGCTGGGCCTTACTGGCAACGAGCGAGGCCCACACCCCCTCGCGTCGTGGCAACACATACGCACGACGAACGGATGTTTTTTAGTGCTGTCGGCCGTCGGCCTCTCTGGTGGCCCTCGCGGGGCGCCGGGGCCGTCGAATAGGTACCCTCAGGATGGAAAACGTGTCCCGCGGAAGTGATCGAGATCTAATCTTAAGAAGCCGGGCCTGGCCCTCTACAGGAGGAATCTTCAAAACTGGTCAAGATGTAGCCAGGGGACGATCCTTGATCAGTTGAATCGTTTTGAAGACTGTTGGGGTGTTTTCGATTTTTCGCCCAAAATCCGCCTGTAGGGGGACTTGCCCGACCTAAATCTAATCGGCGGCGAGCGAGGGGGGGGCGAAGTGAGGAGGAGAAAGCCTTTCCCGCGGCCTTCTGAGCAGTTTCCTGAGATTTTCCCGACGGCGCAGAACACTTCTTAGAAAGCATCTGAGAAGCCCGCCACCTTCTGAGAAGGCCTTCTCCTTCTCATTTCCCCCCCTCGCTTGCCGCCGATCTGCGAGGGTCGACGTTTCGAGAAAGTCCCTGCGCATGGGTTCCTTGGGAACGGGTCCTGAGCAGCACGGGTTTTCTTAGGATTTTTTGTAGCGATTCATGGGCGATACTCCTGGGCCCTCCACGAGCCCCGGGGACTGGCAGAACAAATTGGCCTGTCCCTTTACAGGAGGAGTATTCAAAAGAAGTAAAAACAAAGTGTTGGGGCGATGTGTTCAAACTATGTTTGGATTTGATTGAACATGTTCTAGCTATCTTCAATTTGACTTCCAAATCCCCCCTGTACGGGGACACGCCCGACCTAAGACTGGCAGAAAAGCTCAAGACGGAAAGCTACTGGGGGAAGGCCTCAGGATCCAGTGTCCGTTTCCTGCTGGTCCCGCTTCTCCTTGCCAACGCGATCGGTGGGGCTGTGGTCCTTGCCCTCCCCTGGGGGTCCATCGTGCCGGCAAGATTTGTGTTCCGTATACACTGCGTTTTGGAGTCTCGGGCCCCCTCCCTCCGATACCATAGGCGCCGTGGACATGGATAAAACAATGTCGCCTCTAGCGGTCGGATTTTGATCCATATCCACTGCGCCGCGGCCAGTTGGCGCCCCTTCCCAGAAAGTCCAAGACGCAGTGGGACATGGATATAAATCGTGCCCGCACATTGGCTTCGGGGCCCCTCTCGAGAGATCGTCGGTGCGCTCGACTATGAGTCTTATGTTGTTCGTGCCTCGTAGGCCTCGCCACCTTGGAATGCTGATCGTTTGGGGTATCTCCGTAAGGCATCGGGGCTTCGGCAATAGGGCCCATGCCCCTGACACGCGTACTTGTGGCCTTTTGTCGACGGTAAGGAATGCAGCTCCCCCAGTTGTGGCTGGTCGCCAGGCGTCCCCGGACGGGAGCCACCATTGGAAGTTCGGCAAGTGCGCCTACTGCCAGAAGGGTGAGGGCAAGTTCGAAAAGCCGGGCGCCATGGCCAACCCAGGCGCGAAGGTCGGCGGCTGCTCCGCGGGGGGCAAGTGCATCTACAAGTTCTCGAAGTGCACAAAGTGCGGGAAGAGGGAGTATTGAGATGCCACTCGCCGCAGAGGGGGCTAGTGTGATGGGCCTGCTGTCCACAACCACCACCATAAGTTGGAGGGGGTCCTCCTCCTCCTCCTCCTCCTCCTCCTCCTTTTCGTCCTCCTCCTCCTCCTCCTCCTCGTCCTCCACCTCCTTCCCCCCTCCAACTTGTGGTGGTGGTGGCGGTGGAAATCAGGCCCATCATGGTGGAGGAGCGCCCCCATCTCCCTCCCTCCCTCTCGACGGCACGAGGAGGAGAAGGAGGTGGAGGAGGGGGAGAAGGAGGGGGAGGAGGAGGAGGAGGAGGAGGAGGTGGAGGAGCGCTCCCCCCTCCCTCCCTGCCTCTCGCCGGCAGGGTCGCGCCACCCTCGACGGGGCTGGCGACGCCTGCGCCGGGCCAACCTGTAACGCTCCCCGCGGCGTCAGAGATCAGTTCTCACGTCGTCACTCCAGGCCTATTAGATGCGGTCGGAGAAGATGGGGTCGGAGGGTCGCGCCGCATCGCCGATGCATCCGCGATGCGGCTCGATGCGGAGCCCGATTTCCTCCACGCCGGCGTCGCCGATACGCAGCCGACGTCGGCGATGCATTGGCGATGTGGCGCGATCCTCCGACCCCATCTACCCGGACCCCATCCAGGAGGCCTCCTAGTCACGACGCGGACAAAGTCGTGCAGCCAAGGCGCTGAAGTACGTATACGCAGCTCGGGTTCGAAGAAAGGGGCTCGGTGTTCCGTTGGCCCTTTGGTGGCTGTTCCTCCAGGGCTCTTCGTCCACCCAGGCGCTGTAGAGGCCAAGCAGTGGCTCTGTTCCAGATCCAGCGTTTCTTTTGGTACAGGTGGCACGTCGAGGGAGAAAATGGCTGGCCAGCGGGTGGCCCAGGGGAGCTCCTTGTCCCCCGAAAAGCCCTGGGGATGCGCAGCAGCCTTGGGGCACCTCAGGAATCTCAAAGCTCGACGGCAGACGTGGCCCCAGACGTCTTACAACGATATGTGGGATCGTATCTGTCAACTGTAGTTACATGACCGTACCCGCTTCCCCAGGTTGCAACTCCTGGGTGGCAGAACCATTTCCGGCCATGGTTCTTCCATGATTCGCATCATGCCTACAATTCTTCTGGCTGCTGATCCTCATGCGCGGAGCCCATTCGCGTCATATGCATGGTCTCGGTATCCCCAGCCTCGGACGCCATCGATTACTGTTGCGGGCGTCAGCGCGATGCCAGTTACACAAATCGGGGCGTATCGTTGGTTACATCGCAGTGCCGCGTGATCTTATCATACCCGCTTGCACCACACACACACACACACCTCTGCGACCTCTCCACTCATCCAGCTTAGACGTGTCGCCCCCTGGGCCAAGCAGGGCCCCAGAGACCAAGGACACTGCAAACTGGTTTTTTGTTGTTACTGTTTTGGGGAACTCTTGCTGGGCAGGACGGATATTAGATAATGCTTCGACCCCCGGCTGCAGTCAGTTTGTTTTGTCGGGCGCGCCAGTGTCTCCAGACGTATCAATACGGCGGGGGGGCGTTGGGTAAGGAATTCGCTCGCGCGGCTGCAGACCCTGGGGGGTTCCTTCCTCCTCCTCCTCCTCCTCCTCCTCCTCCTCCTCGTCCTCTTCCTCGTCCTCTTCCTCCTCCTCTTCCTCCTCCTCCTCCTTCTCCTCCTCCCTCCTCCTCCTCCTCCTCCTCCTTCCTCCTCCTCCTCCTCCTCCTCCTCCTCCTCCTCGGTCGGCGAGGCCCACCAGGGGTGCCCGCTGCCCTCCGCGGACCCGCCCCCCCCGCCACGCCTCAAACGGCGTGGGCGCTGGCCAACGGCCGGTCCAGGTTTAGACTTCCACTGGCTTCCGGACCCCGGATTCCCTGCCTGGCGCTTCCTCACCCAACACCCCCCCCCTCCGTAGTCCCCCCTTTGGAGAGGCCCTGGCTCGATCCAGCTCTGCCCGGCTTCAGTTCCGGTTCTCAGGTAGTGGGGTCAACTGTGTGTGTGTGTGTGTACGTGTGTGTGTGTGTGTGTGTGTGTGTGTGTGTGTGTGTGTGTGTGTGTGTGTGTGTGTGTGTGTGTGTGTGGGGGGTCGCCCCCTTTTCCTGGAAATTGAGAACCGATGAGGAGGAGGGAGGATCGAGGAGCGAGGATGGAAGAAAGGGGGAGGATCGAGGATCAAGGAGGCTTTGGCCTTTGTAGTCACGTTTGGGAGTTCCGGCGGGGTCAGGGGGTCCGGTTCCCGTTTCCAGGAGGAGTAGCGGCCCCTTACGTGGTGTTGACCCCCTTTTGACATTGCTTGGAGTCTAGCGTGATCTGGTGCAACGTCTCCTCAGCGCCGCCGAACAGCAAGTCGTGCCCGCGAAGGCTTCGCAGGCGCCTGCCAAGTCTCTGCTCCCTTTTCCATCCTGGGGCAGATTTTTTATTGCCACTCCTGAGGGTGTATGTGGCAATACTGCGCTGGTTTTTCCACGACCCAGCGCGGCTACGTAAGCTGCCTCGCCAAGGCGGTGTGAGGCGAGGCGAGAATTGTCTGAGCGCAACTCCTGCCCTCATCCCACTTCCCTCCCCCTTTCCCTCCGCATCCTTTCTCCCAGGCCATTTTCCGCATAGGTTAGATCACTTATACAAGGCTTTCACTAAAAGAGGAAGGACCATGGATTTCAGTCGAGCATCCGATTAAGAAACCTTCTTCCGAAAAGCTAGGGGGATAGGCATAGGGGGGACACATCGACTCCCAATTGCCCATTCATCCTCGATAGGGCCCGATAGCTCTACCCTGCCTAGGAACATGCGGATTTGCTATCGGGTGCCTATCGCCGATTTATCGGCGATGTATCGCCGATACCAGGTCGATGTTCCCCCCCCTGCGCCAGTCCTCCACTATCGTTGCCCCTTGCGCTCGCGGAGGGATGTACCCAGGAGGCCTCAGGCCCTAGGGCATTCCTGAACTGATGAGGGCGGCGGTGCATGGCCGGTCCAGGATGAGAGTTCCACCACCTTTCAGGCCCTGGAGTCCTTCTACCAGGGCCCCTTGACTAGTGCCGTCGCCGCGAGCGCCGCGGGCGCTCACAGGGAGAGGCTTCGGTGGCCTGCCCCCCCCGTTGGGGGCGGCAGGGCCCGGAGGACGGGCCGCGTGTCCGTCCCGGGTGGCGCCTCACGCCTGTCTTGTCGGAGCTCCGGCCAGCACGTGCCTCGTGCACGCGAGGCGAGAGACAACTCATGCCGTCGCCGTGTGGGCGTACCCTGGCGGTGAGCTTTAGGCGCTCCCTCGCGCCCCTCTGCGCCACGGGGCCGCCCAGCGCCCGCGCGCAGCAGGCAGCTCTAGAGCACCGCTGCAGGCCGCTGGAGACCGCTGAAGAGACCGCCGAGGTGCTGGTGGGTGGCAGGGAGCCCGTGGTCGAGCGCTCGTGATCAGCCTCCTGCTCTTCCTGCCCCCCTCCCTCCTCCCTCTTCGGCCTCCCTCCTCTTCCTCCCCTTAGTCTCTCCGCGCTCCTCCACGGGGCTCCCTTCTCCTCCCTTCTCCTCCCTTCTCCTCCCTCTCCCCTCCTCCTCCTCCTCCTTCTCCTCCTCTTCCTTCTCTGCCTCCTCCTCCTTCTCTGCCTCCTTCTCCTTCTCTGCCTCCTCCTCCTCCTCCTGTATTATACCGCGCACGGTGGGTCGCACAATTCGAAACTCGTTTTCGACTGCTGTCTTACCGCCTCCTCACCCTTTTATCTCCATCCTTTTCCTTACAAGGAACTCCATGTCGCACTCCTAGACTTGTAGGTCGGGTGGGCTGGGCGTTGTCGCCTGAGACTTCCTCACCATTTTTGATTCTGAAGATTGAGGTTTGCAACAGATTCGGATGGAGGGCGGGTGGTTTCAAAATGTGGCCCTCGCCTTAGCGCACCCATTTTTTTCATGTCTGCAACAGTTTCAAGGGTTCGTATGGTCGAAGTTCAAGGAATTGTTGCGTTCTGGCACGATTGTCAGGGCGCAACGTTGACAGCTGTGTGCAAGTCCCAGAGATGGTATTCTGGCGGACGCAACAGTCGTGCTGATCTGCGGCGCTGAAATCCCCGGAAACCATGTTTTTTTGCCACGATGTTGGGGAGTCCCAGACGTTTGTTTTTTCATGGGCCACTGGCCACAATGTAAGTACATTCTCCGAATGACCCATGGAGAGGGAGCCAGGAGGGAGGATGTGTTGCATCATCGCTGATGCGTCCTGGGTTTGCGCTGGTCCGCCTCCTTTTTGCAGTGCGCGGGCATCGATCAGGTGATCGCCGCGTTTGTCCTCCTCCTCCTCCTCCTCCTTCTCCTCTTCCTCCTCCTCCTCCTCTCCTCCTCCTCCTCCTCCTCCTCCTCCTCCTCCTTCTCTTTCTCCTCCTCCTCCTCCTCCTCCTCCTCCTCCTCCTTCTCTTTCTCCTCTTCCTCTATTTCCTCTTCCTCCTCTTCGCTGCCACTCGACCCCTGGAGCAGCGCAGGGGTGTGCCTCGAGGACAATCTCGAGGGGAATCTCCGGCCGCGGTGGCGACGAGCCTGCCGGAGGCCGAAGGCCCAAAGCTACCCCCATAAGCCCTTGCCTTTAATATCGTCGAGCCTCGGCCACTGGCCCGCCGTCGTCTCAACTGGGCCTCCTCCGGGTGGAGGTCCCCGCGCGAGTGCACGGAATGCCTCCGCCCACCACTTGGGCTACCCACCCCTTTGGCCTACGCACCTCCCTCCCGCCTTAAGAGATCCGGTGTGCTGTTTTTGTCGTTGCGCGGTTCCCAGAGGAAGTCCCGACCCTTTGCCCAGGGCCGGCTTCTCATCCTGAGTCGTCTCTTGATTTCGGCCAGGCTCAGGCATAGTTGTACCACAAGCAATTCGCATAGTTAGGACGAGTGTGTCCTTGGGCCCCTTGACAACCGTCCACGTCTCGAGTTTCCCCCAGCCTCCCGCCCAGTTGAGCGGAGCGATAGGCTACCCTCTTGCAGGGCACAAGCAGCATGTCGCCGGGGGCCGCAGCAGCGACTCGCTCAGCAAGCGTTCGTGACCGTGGGCACCAAGGCGGGCGCTTTGTGGCCAGAACGCCTGGGTATATGCTGTAAGATGACTGTGCTATGTTTCCGGGTCGGACGCGGGCCTCCTCGGGGCGCGCTTACTTGGGCGTAACTAAAGTTCCCTCGGAAACGCGGAAGACCTCCAGACGACCCAGACAGGATGCCTAGGCGGCCCCATGGCCCCAAGATGGTTCCACGACGGCCTCAGACGGGCACGAAGACGACCTCGGGCCGACCCCAAGGAGACCCCGTGGCCCCTGCAGGGTCCAGACGCAGCGTCGAAATGGCCTTGGGGCGAATCCAAGATGGCCCAAGATGTGAGCGATGCCCTGGAGTCCAGGCGCGGTGGCCCCCGAGCGACCCCGAGGTGGGCGGAGCATGCCGAGAGTGCAACACCATGATCTTAAGATGACCTGGGGATGATTTCAGGATGACTTCAAGATGGCCCGAACACGTCATACATTGGCAGGATTGGGTCCCGCCGCGGGATTTATCCGGACCCCCTTTTTTTGGTGGGTTTTTTTGGTGGCTGGACTAAAACTATATTATTAAGAAGGGAACTACTCGCCAAGGATCCCGCCGAGACCACGCAAGAGGGCTATCTTGCTAGGCTTTTAGGGGGGGAGGGGGGTTCAACGCATCCTGCCCCTCAACCCCATCGGGTGCCTTTGCCAAAAGGGCTGCAACGGAGATGAGCACACAATGCCATCGGGCCCGATTCAGAAAGTTCAAGGAACTTGGGAAGCGGCGATGTATCGAGCAGTGGTGAAGCGTCGTGGCTTTCCTGTAGGCCCATCAAAGAATGTTCTACTAAGAACCGCTTGTGGCTTGCACGCAATGCGATTAGAACATTTCTGGCTGAGACTGTCTTTTTTTCCAGAACATCGGGTTTGTGCCCTAAGAGCAGCGTTCTGGTTCTTAGAACGTTTGTTGGTTCCAAGAGCGTGTCGTGGTAGGCCTATAGAGATACCCGGACGGTCGGTCCCCGCTCAAGCATAATACTAGCATCTCCGTCTGCGTGTTGACATTGTCCCGGGGCCCAGCGACGGCCCTGCAGATGCCGAGATCAGCGAAACACTTCCGCACTGCCTGTGCCAGTGCGTGGAGGTCCAGGCCCAAGCGGCGCGGCAGCGGACGATGACCGCTCGCCAGCGCCTCTGGGCGGGGGGGGCGGGGCGCGGGCAACGAGGGCGCGTGAGAGCCGATGGCGACGCACGCCAGCCACGCACGTTGATGGCGGCGGCGACGACGCACGTCGACGACGATAACGACAACGACGACAACGGCGGCGGCGGCGGCGACGGCGACGGCGACGGCGGCGGCGACGGCGACGGCGACGGCGACGGCGACGGCGACGACCCCGACGACGGCGACGGCGGCGGCGGCGGCGGCGACTGCTGACTGAGTGGGGGGGCGAGGCGCGGGCGACGAGGGCGCGAGGGAGCTCGGCGGTGCCCTGGCCGCGAACACGACGCTGCGGGAGCTCGAGGCGCGCGCGCGCGCGCGCGCGGGAGGCCCGGGCGACCAGGGCGTCGCCGGCGGGCCCTCGGAGGGCCGTCGGAGGGGGCCCCTGGCGGGCCCTCCGAGGGCCTGCGGGGGCCTCGGGGGGCCCATGCGGGCGTCCGGGGGCCTCCCGGGGCTCGCTCGGGGCCCGCCGTGGGGGTCCGCTCGTCCACGGGCGCGCTCCACTCCTCGCAGTGGCGCCCACCCGCAGGCGTCCGAACAGGTTTAAGTCGGGCATGTCCCTCTACAGGGGGAGTATTCAAAACTAGTCCAAGAAATGAAGAAGAAAGCAGCCAATGTATGAATACATTCGGATTCTGTTTCGACCATCTTTGATTTTCCGTTCAAATCCCGCCTGCAGGAGGACACGCCCGACATAATCATAGATGCCCCGCGGCGGATCGCAGGCCTCGCGCGAGCAGGTAAACTCTGCGGGTCGTGGAAAGCGCCCTCGTCTACTGTGCTCGCGCGCTCGAGGGTCTTCTTTTGGGGGCCGGGCCTGGTGCTTTTCTCCTCCTCGCCGTCCTCCCCCTCCTCCTCCTGCTCCTCCTCCTCCTCCTCCTCCTCCTCCTCCTCCTCTTCCTCCTCCTTCTCCTCCTCCTTTTCCTCCTCCTCCTCCTCCTGCTCCTCCTCCTCCTGCTCCTTCTTCTCCTCCTTTTCCTCCTCCTCCTTTTCCTCCTCCTCCTTTTCCTCCTTCTCCTCCTCCTGCTCCTCCTCCTGCTGCTCCTCCTGCTCCCCCTCCTCCTCTTTTTGCCGAGCTTTCCCGAGGAGGCTTGCCCTCGTGCGCCCGGGGCAGTCTCTGTCGGCCTCCCAGCTGGCAGGGCTCACGTCGACTCCTCCGATTCGATTCGGTTCGATCCCGACGGCTTCCGATGCCGATTCGGGTCGATTTTGGATGCCGATTCGGGTTCCGATGTTATGCTGGACGCATACTAGCCTGCCGATTTCCACCGATTCGACTCTTCCCGACTCGGGTGCCGATATCCGCCGATCCGATTCATGTCGATCGCCGGTCCGACTCATCGATTCGATTCTGGGCTCCCCTGCGGTTGTGGGCGGAGCAGATGGGGTCGGAGGATTCCGCCGCATCGCCCATGCATCGGCGGTGCGGCTCGACGTGGAGCCCGATGTTCCCCTCGCCGCTGGCGCCG